GGGTGATATCACAACAGACCCAACTGAAATTAAAAGAATCATAACAGAATACTATGAAAAATTGTACTCTAACAAATTTGAAAACCTAGAGGTAACAGACAAATTTCTAGAAACTACCTACCTACCTAAATTAACACACAGAGGTAGAACAACTAAATAAACTCATAACAAAAGAAGAGATTGAGAAGTTAATTTTAAAACTCCCAACAAAAAAAAGCCCGGGCCCGGACGGCTTCACTGGAGAATTCTACCAAACTTTCAGAGAAGAGTTAACACGACTACTACTAAAGGTATTTCAGAGCATAGAAAAGGATGGAATGCTCCCAAACTCATTCAGTAAAGCCAGCATAACCTTGATACCAAAACCAGGAGGGAAATGGCAAAATGAATTGCGGTACCACCATACAAGAAAATAGTATGCAGCTGTGATGAAAAGAATGAAGTACAACAGAGAAAATGATTCTGGGTTTAGAAAAGCTAGGTGCAATATAGCACAGTATATAGTACATGTTACCTTGTGTGTATAAAAGCAGAAAAATAAGAATATATATTATAGATTTCTTTGAGGCATGTGACTACTACCTATTGAAAAAGTTAAAGAAATGAGTTAACTCCCTTGGCAGATTTAAGAAAACTCAAGACATTTCTGGCTCACCTACTTCACTGTTCTTATTTTTGCTATTTAACAAACAGGAATAGGAGAAAACCATAGGAAATCAGGGAGCTAGAAGTTGGAACTCCTCAGAGATAACCCAGATAAAATGTTTAAATCAATGTGAAACTCAGGTCTGCATTTTCTTTTATTTTTTTAAGTAATTTCTGTCCTTTACAATGTATTCTCTCACGCACACACACGCGCACGTACTTGCACACGTGCACACTCACACGACGTGAGATGGATAGAGAAACAAGGATAGCTTTCAAACACAGGATTTTACAAAGTTTAAAGTGGATTATATTTATGTGCTTTTCAGTCATTACACAATGTACAGATATGATCCATTTAATGATTTATGCTCCTCAAATGGTTAAACGATGAGGGTTTTCTACGAAAGAGTATACATAAAAGCTCTTTAGAAGCAAAGTACTGTTTCCTGCAAAAACCAACCTCAGGCATACATTCTGTGTTTACATATATTCTGTGAGAATATTACAGTCGCAGTGCATAAATTCATTCTGTAAAAAGATCTGGAAGATGATTTTCAAGAGACTCTTAATGCATTGTGCTCTCAGATAAAAAACCTAAGTCAAAAGATTAGTTACTGTGATAAGTTAAAACTGCATATATATATATATATATACATATATATACACACACGTTAGATATATACATATCTAACATATATATATATATATATATGCTAGAGATCAGAAGAGGCTATAAAGAAATGTAAATAGTTGTGCTTAGGGACTTTTTTTGGTAAAGTTGTTTTAATAATAAATAAAAACTTAAAAAATGTCTCAGTGACTGATACAAAATAGACACAGATATCAAGGATTTTCTATACTTGGCTTAGAGTTTAAAGGAGAGCACTGATCTCCACATAAACCACACAGCATCTGGTAATCCCAATTTGGGCAAATCACTTACAGTCAGTCAGGCAAGGGGCCAGGGAGAAAAGAAAATACCCCCCCATTAACATAAAGCATTATCCAGAGTTAGAGCCAGGATGAACCAACTAGCTAAACGAATGCCTACCTACCTTTAGAACTTTTAGACCAAATAGAGAGGTTGCCCCATTTCTATTGGGTTTTTATAAAAACCTACATGCTTGGTGTAAGGACCACAACCTGTTCTGTAGTTTACCAGGTGAATTAAATATGTCCTGTCCTCTGTGAAACCCTAGGATAAGCATGATCCCCCAGTACCTTATGCTCTTTTTACCCTCCATACAGTAACTGTAAAACTATTCTTCTAGAAACACCATGACAGCTGTTTATAATAATAAGAGAAAATCAAACCAAACCCATTGCCATTGAGTTGATTCCGATTCATAGCGACCCTGTAGGACAGAGTAGAACTGCCCCATAGGGTTTCCAAGGCTGAAGTCCACGGAAGCAGACTGCCACATCTTTCTCTCACAGAGCGGCCGGTGGGTTCAAACCACCGACCTTTTGGTTAGCAGCTGGGTACTTTAACCATTGCGCCACCAGGACTCCTTTAATGATAGAGGACAAGGTATAATTTATGTAGTTAACATTAATGCTTGTATCTAGGAAATAAACGTGATTTTATTTTTAGGCAGGTCGGTTTGCTCTTGTGAGCCTTTAGCTTTGAAGGACACATGATCTTAACAATCAAAGTGAACTAGAAAAAGATGACAAAATAACAAATGTCTGAATTAAAGTCTTTTGCACACTAAGTACAGATATAAAAAGAATTTCTTCAAATAGTTTCATAGGAGTCACTCAAAAACATCCTTGCTGTCTGTAACATAATGTGCTGGAATTCTTCAAATAAAATAATGAGTAATTTAAAATATATATTACACATCTGCAATTATTTTAAATCATTCAATAGTTTGTAGCATGTTAATGAAGTAAAATGGAGATAAAAGGCAGTCCACATTCATGATGTTTGGAAGATAAAATTACTTCACAAGTCAACTGAAATCCCTGCTCATGTTCTAAGTATAGCCATTGTGATAAGACCTAAAAGAAAAAATTGAAGAACAGTAAAAGAAATGCATTTTACAGAATCTTCCATTCAATAAGTAATTGTTTAGACCTCAATGAGCAAATAAAATACAGCATATAAGCAGGCACTTGACCAAGAACTCAAAGTCAATTTGAATTTAGTTGATATTTTACAGAAGAAATCCAATTTACAGCAAAGGGCAGTCACTGGATAGATTTAATTAAATCACTAATGTCTGGCCATAACTAATTTAACCATCAAATATACCTCGTACTTTATCTGGTCACATCAGCTATAATAATAGCAGACATGCCATTTAAAAGTGTCAGTAAAGCCAGCAGACTTCATCAACAAAAACATTCGAGAGCCTATTTGTATCCCAGGGCCCGAGAGCCACAAAGAGACAGAGGCATAGCATTCCTGCTTCGCTTGCCTCTTCTGAAGAGACTCTATACATAAAACCATAAAAATCTAATAAGACAAGAATATGCAACTCTCTTTTAGCCCAAAACTGAAACCATTCCCAAGGCCAACTCTTCAGACAAAGATTAGACTGGACTATGGGACATAAAGTGATACTCGTGAAGAGTGTGCTTCTTAGCTCAAGTAGATATATGAGACTAAATGGGCAGCTCCTGTCCAGAAGGGAGATGAGAAGGCAGAGAAGGTCAGGAGCTGGTTGAATGGATACGGGAAATCTGGGGTGGAAAGGAGCGTGCTGTCACAGTACAGGGAGAGCAATTAGGGTCACCTAACAACACATGTATAAATTTTTGTAGGAGAGACTAACTTGAATTGTAAACTTCACTTAAAGCACAACAATAACCAAAAAAAAAAAAAAAAAGAATATGCTCAGTCCTGAAGGAGTGGTAAAAAAAAGTGAGTGATGAAGATTAATCACCTAGCACTGACTGGGCAGTCCAAAAAGATGCCCCAAAGAGATAAAAGCTGAGAGAAGCCTTAAAAGAGGAAGGAAAGACATAGAAAACAGAGATGAGATGGGCAGTCATTTCAGGTGAGGGAACAGCAAGAGTGGGAACATGGAGGTGGGACGAGACCTCTAGAGGAGTTTTTCTTTTTTTAATCAAGGATTTATACAGGGAAGCAGCTAGATAAAATTGGCTCAGAGAGCCCTCAAACAGATTGCCAAAAAACAAAACAAAAAACCCAAACCCATTGCCGTGGAGTCAATTCTGTCTCATAGTGACCATATAGGATAGAGTAGAACTGCTCCATAGAGTTTCCAAGGAGCGGGTGGTGGATTCCCACCACCGACCTTTTGGTTAGCAGCCATAGCATTTAACCACTGCGCCACCAGGGCTCTTCAAACAGATTGCAGAGAGTCTTAAATATCAAACTACAGGGTTGTACTTCATTCTGTGGACTACGGAGAACCACTCAAGGGTTCTGACTGGGGAGTCTGGAAATCAGTCGGACAGCAACAGGGTGGATGGTTTTGGGTGAGAAGGAATGGGGGGAAGAAAGGACACAGACAGAAGGTAGGGAGACAATTTAGGAGACATTTTGAAATTTAAAAAAAAAAGAGGGGCTAAGGAACACTGGGAGAGAAGCACTGAAGAGCTGGCATCTAAGAAGAGGTGAGCAGAGAGTGAATATGAGGAAAGAATCACAAGCGAGCATTTCATTCATCATCATAACCCTAATCTTTGACCTATAGTAGGCACTGAAGAAATGTTTGTTCAAGTGAACTAATTAATTACAGTAAAACCTACAAAAGTTGGAAGCTGTGTAAGGTGGAAACCTGTGAAAGAAGGAAAATGCAAATATTTTCCACTAATAGAGAGCAAAAGAAAAGTGGTAAGACTGCACCCTGTCAGAGGCAGAAAACTTGCGAGACCCAGAAAAACAAGGCTGTCCCATCGAGTTACAGCTCTCACAGGTTTCACTGTCTACGATTTCTAGCCACAATGACTGAAAGGAAAGAATGATTTAACAGAAAATGAGAGATCTGGTTCAAAGAGAAAGGTTCACAACGTTCATCTTTATCACTGTAGGCACTTTGTCTAACAGCTTCCTAGGATCAATTCCTAGAAGTAGAAATGCTGTATCACGGAATATACAGTTTACATTTTATACATTTCATACCATTTTAAGTCCGCAAAAGGAAAATAATTGAATAAAGACAGTATTAGATACTAGATATATAAGCTGAAAGGAACTAATAATGTGGGCCAAAAATTAAATCTTAAAAAGTGTCTTACTTGAACATGCTTTTGAAGTAACCTGTTTTTCAAAAAAAAAAACCCACCACCACACCACCACTGTCAACCCACAAACACTAGACTATAGCTACCACCCAAATGCATCTTGCAAACACTTACCTAAAATGTAAGCAGCCACTAATTTCTGATTCACACTTAAGTGGAGGTAGAGAGGCACCAGCGATTCCACATCCCCCAGTGTAGGAAGCATCAGGGCTGCAATGCACACCACTCCCAGGAAGACAGTTAGTAAACTAGGGCCTGAGGAGACAGTTCTGTTTTCTGCAAAAATATAAAAATCCTTGAGCTTGCTTCTTGAAACAACTTAAGACAAAAGGTGGTTGACATATACTGTCCACCACTCACCAGGATTCTGGTTTTCTCTCATTTCTCTGACCCCTTCCCATCACCCCCATGTCTGCTGGACTGATCTGGAAGCCCATAACTCAACTGCTCCGAGTCATTACAGGATGGAATGTTGAAATGGCATTGTAAAATATAGTGAGTCCCTACTGAAAAGAACAGTGGTCACCAACCTTTTTGCCCCCCACACATACACCCTAATCAGTAGAAAGTGTTCTAGCATGTATTATCAATATATGCATACTTATAAATTATATACACGACTACTGTACTATTAATATGCTTCATGCAAAACATACAAATAGAATTGTAAAATAATATGCTAAAATTAAATATAAACTGAAGCTCTGGTATTTTCTTCCTGTACCCTAATGGATTGCTGGTGTGTATGCCGTTTTTTTTTTTTTATTGTTGTAGTTTAGCTGAAGTTTACATTTCAAGTTAGTCTCTTATACAAAAATTTATACATACATTGTTATGTGACTAATTGCTCTCCCCATACTGTGACAGCACACTCTTCTTTTCCACCCAATTCCCCATGTCCATTCAACCAGCTCCTAACCCTCTCTTCCTTCCTGTCTCACCTCCGGACAGAAGCTGCCCATTTGGTCTCTTGTATCTACTTGAGCTAAGAGGCACACTCCTCACGAGTATCACTTTATGTCCCACAGTCCAGTCCAATCCTTGTCTGAAGAGTTGGCCTCGGGAATGGTTTTAGTTCTGGGCTGATAGAGAATCCACGGGCCATGCTTTCCAGGGTTCCTCCAGTCTCAGTCAGACCATTAAGTCTGGTCTTACCAGAATTTGAGTTCTGCAACCCACGTTTCTCCTGCTCCATCAGGGACTCTTTGTTGTGTTCTCTGTCAGGGCAGTCATTGGTGGTAGCCGGGCACCATCTAGTTCTTCTGTGTACCCCATTTTTTGAGGATCACTGCACTAGAGCACCACTACCTTCTAGATCGGTCTCCAGACAGGTTTGGTTCCATTTTTGAAAATGTTAAGGTGCCAAAAAGATACCATTTGAGTGCTATACAGCTGCTGTGAAAATTCTTGCTCTCTGCTCTACCCCATTAATAGCAAAGAAGTAAGAAAGCAGCAGAAACATTATCTGGCAAATAAAGTTCCCATAAACTTTGTCATCAGGCCTGCTATTCTACAGTTCTGGCTGTATGTGTACAATATATATAACCGTATTTTGAAGAAACCCAATAACAGCATTTTCCATTATATGGCTTTTCCCACTACCCTTCCTTTCATTAAAAGGAATAGCCAACAGCAACACAAACTTTGAAGTAATGCTGTTCGTTTTATCATTAAATGCAGCTTTTCTAAATTATTAATAACTTAATAATCACCAAAGCCTGATAGCTGGAAACAAATTCCAATTTTATAGTGATTATTTCTTGTGATGAAGCAATACCGCAAATACTTAAAAGAACAAGTGTTATTTGGGTTAATAAAAAAAAGCACTTTTATATTTATGTTTGTTGCAAGAATGAATTTTCAAGGAAAACATCATGACAGTCACACTGCTCACCGCAAACCCACAATAAAGGTAATTTCAAGGAATGTTTAGTATTAAAAGAAATTTCAAAAACATTTGTATAAATGCCTTGAAAGTTTTCAAAATGGAAACAGCTTTTTGTCCTGGCGCTACATGATTCTTATGAAAAATTTTACAAAGATATAGAAAAAGTAAAGCTTCCTCGGTAATCTTACTTTCCTAAAGGCAATGCTGTTAACAGCTTGGTCTAGATCTTCACAGATTTTATAAATGCCCATACGAACATGTACAATATTTTTTTTTGCACAAATAGGTCCATATTATACATACTGTTCTGTATATTTTTTCTCACTTAGAAATATATTTGAACTTCTTTCTATATCAGCATATAACCATCTATCATTCTCTCAGATCCTATTAAATGCCTGCCCGGTTTTCCATCTTATGGATATTCATAATTTAATCAAAACCCAATGGATGGACTTTGGGGTCATTTTCAGTTTTTTGTTATTATAAACAATAATAAAGAATGTAATTTTCTTAAGCCAGAGGGCACAGACTCAAACATTCATAGCAGTTCATTAATAATGTAATTAAGACAAATCCACTAAGACACAGCTGTATCATTTAAAAGATCTTTTTAATAACCTGGGCTTTCTTGTTTTGTGAAAGGCTACTTAGTGGGTCTCTCTTAGTTATATTTCTGTTAAATGAAAACAAACAAACAAACAATATACAAACTTGTATTTATGTACATGGACAAGGTGTGGAAAGCAACATGGAACACTTATATAAGTGGATTTGTTAAGTGTATGAGATTATAGGTGCTTTTTCCTTATTTTGAAATTGTTACTGCTATGTCTTTTATATAATAAATTCAAGAAAAAAATTATTATTTTTACTGACACTCAATACATTTTAAATCCAAAATTTTCATGATGTATCCTTTGACCATTTTCCAGCTAACAGTGAGTCTCACAACAATGCTGTACTTCTCACAATATGCTTTTGCTGAAACGTTTTCTAAGCTAAAGACTTGTAAAAATAGTGACATTTTAAAACCTTGTAGAAAAAAAATTTCAGTTTGTTTCCACGTTTCTGTTCAGAAAAACGTAATGATAAGAGAAATCTTGAAATTCCACATACTGGAAACCACAAATAATTATTAATTTAATAGAAGTTAAAAATATCACTATGTCAACATAGACTAAATCAGTCATCATTATACTCTCAAAGAAAATTTACTGCTACATTCCCAAAAACATTGGGGTAACTACCCATAAACGGGACATGTTGGCCAAGACTGCTGATGGGGCTCTACTGTGGTGTCGCCCTTACTCTAGAAAGTGGCAACAGCCACAGCAGCCTTGTAGGCCAAAGAAAATCAATCCAACAGACCCTTACCAAATGTGAAGTCCAGCCTTCCTAATTCAGCCCATTCAACACACATTTACTGTGTAACTACTCAGGGCCAGGCACTGTGCTAGGTGCTGAGGAAATAATGGTGAACAAGACAAATAAGGTGCCTGCCTCCGAGGAGCTCTGACATGAATGGCTTAGAGACTTTTTTTTTTTCAAAACAGAGACCACCACAGGACATTCCAGTGTGAGCAATCCTCAGTTATCGATCTACTCCAATTTTACAGTCAGAAGAATTCTCTAATATATTTTAGATACCAATGATTCATTATAAAAATAAGAATAAAAAATCCCAATAGACATTGTAATTATTTAGCCCTTTTAAGGATTTTCACCTGAATTCTAAGAAATTTTGAGAAATGCCAAGCGTGTTCTTCCCTTTTGCAAAGGTATTTGCATATTTCATTATAATACTTTGTCTTCTCGAGCTGCCCTTCGAATTCTTCTGTTCAGCTCTTTTGCCTACTCATTTCTTCCAATTGCTTTAGCTACTCAACATTCAAGAGCAACTTTCAGAGTCTCTTCTGATATCTATTTTGGTCTTTTCTTTCTTTCCTGTCTTTTTAATGACCTTTTCCTTTCTACATGTATGATGTCTTCCATGTCGCACCACAACTAGTCTGGTCTTCGGTCATCAGCGTTCAAAGCATCAAATCTATTCTTGAGATGGTCTCTAAATTCAGGTGGGATATACTCAAGATTGTACTTTGGTTCTCCTGGACATGTTTTAATTTTCTTCAGCTTCAACTTGAACTTGCATAGGAGCAATTGATGGTCTGTTCTGAAGTTGGCCCCTGGTCTTGTTCTGACTGATGATATTGAGCTTCTCCATCATCTCTTTCCACAGATACAGTCAATTTGATTCCCGTGTATTCCATCTGGTGAGGTAAATGTGTATAGTACCTGTTTATGCTGTTGAAAAAAGATGTTTCCAATGAATAGGTTGTTGGTCTTGCAAGATTCTATCATGTGAATGGGGCATCAGGATTGGAGGGAGACTCATTAACAACCTGTGATATGTAGATGATACAACCTTGCTTGCTGAAAGTGAAGAAGACTTCAAGCACTTACTGATGAAGATCAAAGACTACAGCTTTTAGTATGATTACACCTCAACACAAAGAAAACAAAAATCCTCACAACTGGATCAATAAGCAACATCATGATAAACAGAGAAAAGACTGAAGTTGTCAAAGATTTCATTTTACTTGGATCCACAGTCAACACCCATGGAAGCAGCCGTCAAGAAACCAAACGATGTATTGCACTGGGCAAATCTGCTGCAAAAGACTACTTTAAAGTTGAAAAGCAAATATGTCACTTTGAGGACTAAGGTGCACCTGACTCAGTCCATGGTGTTTTCAATTGCCCCATATGCATGCGAAAACTGGACGATGTATAAGGAAGACCGAAGAAAAATTGATGCATTTGAATTATGGTGTTGACGAAGCATATTGAATATACCATGAACTTCCAGAAGAAGGAACAAATCTGTCTTGGAGAAAGTACAGCCAGAATGCTTCTTAGAAGTGAGGATGGTGAGACTTCGTCTTACATACTTTGGATGTGTTATCGGGAGGGAGCAGTCCCTGGAGAAGGACATCATGCTTGGTAAAGTAGAGGGTCAGTGAGAAAGAGGAAAACCTTCAATGAGATGGGCTGACACAGTAGCTTCAACAATGGGCTCAAACACAGAAACGATTGTGAGGATGGTGCAAGACTGGGCAACGTTTCATTCTGTTGTACATAAGGTCGCTATGAGTCGGAAGCGACTCGACAGAGCACCTAACAACAACAATATACACGCACACATACACATGTATTTACTCCATATTACAACTAAACCTTAACCCTCATTATTCTTGGCTATTAAACCAGTCTGTTAAATATAAGAATGAGCTCCCATGGCCACGTTATTTTAAATTATGAATTTAATGTCAAAACCAAATATTCATTATATCACCTTTCTCGTTCTAGAGGAGGCATTTAAAAAGGGGAATCTTGCATTTCATAAATAAAAGAGTCAACTTTGCAATATTGATCTGACTTCAAAAGACGTTGGACAGAAGTTCTCCTTTGGCTTCAAAGGACGAAAAGCTAATCCTGTCAGTTAATAACAGTCACTGAGAAGAAAACAATCTACTAACTACTACCTGGGTAAGGCCTAGTCTTCTATGTTTTCCTGGTGATAAAATGTTACCCCCAGAAAATCTGGGCACTGCCTACACGGACTGAGAAGACACTTGGCTAAAGTAAATCAAAGAGGCATTACTTTCTGTCTTATTTAAACAATCTATGATAAACAAACTGATATGGATCCATGAATTAATGTAATGACAAGGAGATTGTTAAAAAATCCCTCAAATCTTATGTTACAATTTCAAGGACAGCTGCTATACCACATTCATATATCACTATCAGAAAGTTTCCATGTATTTCTATGGAAAATTTCATCTTCCTCCTTTTATAATAGGGTTGGGGAGAAATAATGAGAAGTTAAGAGGGAGGGGGAATGACGTCCAAAGAGTTGAATATGAGGATAGTGTCAATGTTGAAAGAATATATCGTAACACTTCTGAATATCTAAGCTGGAAGGAAATGAGGAATGGAGAGGGATTCAATTAATAGCCCACAGGGGATATTATAATCTACTTAGTTTAATTAACTTCAACTTTAATGAGATTTTTTTTTTCAAAATAATATGAACAGTGCACTAAACTTGGTCTATTGCCAAACACAATCTCTCCTCCTTCAAACTAATTAAATGAGAAAGGATATAGGAAAGTCACAGAAACAAAAGTATGTTAATTGCCAAATTGTACTAGCGTCATAGCATGGCGCCTGCATTCTCAGATTTTAAAATATATATACGTATTTAAAAGGTGATGGCAAGATTTGCGCCCTCTCTGTACAGCCTAGTCCAGAGAGGGGTATCCACTCCTCTGAAAGTCGAGCCCTAGACCTCTTGCTCTATTTCAGGTACGTGATCTGTAAGTTCAGTTTTCAAGTGGTTGAATAGGTTGAGTAGGTTTAAAGTGGCAGATTATTTTTCTAGTACTTATTCTTAGCTCCCTGATTATTTTAAAGTCAGAAACATGTAAGACCTCAAAAGGGCTTTCAGAACAACCCCAAACTACCTGGTTGACACGACTGCTCAAAAAATAAACTTTCTGTTAAATGTTCCTTTATTCTTTTTTCCTCTTCTTCCTTTTGTTGTTCTTTTGCAGATGGGAGAAGAGTAGCAACAACCTCTTTCCTTCCTAAAGCCTTCCTCTGGCTTTGCTCGGAAACTTGGAGACGGAATTTGTCTATTACACCATAGTGACAGGATCGAACATCTCTATGACGAATCACACTGGAAACATCAAAAAAGAACAAATGTGCTTTAGATTTCTGGGCACCTGTCAATCAGAGTGCAGCAAGAGATTTTAATACAGTCAAATAATATTAACTGGCAACCCAATACTCAAGTAACAGGAATTTGCTAATGATGCTAAAAAAAAAAAAATCACAGTATAACACCCCCTCCCCAAACGAGTAATTCTGATACATTTGACGAAAACCACATACTCTAAAACAAATAATAAAGGTCTTAAGTTAAAGAGTGACAGGTAAAAAAATTCCTTTTAGCAATGACATTTTTTCCTGGACATCTGTGTGCAGCAATATTTAGTAAATGGGAATATATGAAATTGGTTCTTCCCCACAAAAGTCTCAGAAATTTGTACTGTCATTTATTTTTCAAGGAATAAACCTCATCCTAGACTTAAAATTGAAATCCATGCACACAGGAAAAATAAGCAATTGAATAAGGAATTAATCCATTATGACCAACACAACAGAAAGCTAACAACACAACCCCTCTACATGAAAAGAAAAAGTATAAAGCACTGGAATTTTTATTTGCATTATATGCAATTCCATTTATTTTACTTTGTTCTTACCAGAGGACGCAAAACAATTGGGTCAAAGGTAACAACACATTTATTTGGCAAGAGACGATTATTTCTTTGGAATAGTCCTTGCTTATTGCGTACTAACTCAAAATCAAAAGAAACGAGCACTGAGATGGTGTACGTTTTGTTACGTATATTTTCACCACACACACACAAAATTTTTTTTACAAAGAAATGTGCAAAAACAGTTCTCAAAGATACTTCATTTTAGTACTTTGAGATAATGAAATGTATTCAAAAGACTTCTGCATCTTGTCCTCATGGAAGATCTACACGAGCTCAGTTTACTCAGTAGCTTAAATGAAGGGCCAGTCAAGAGATCCATCTGGTCACCGCTAGTTCTAAAGTGAAAATTAAATATGAACAGCTTGAAAAAACAATTATTTATTGACACTCTAAGATGAAATTATCTGGAAGTGCTCAGATAACCTTCTACCGATGAGTAGTTACACACTTTGCTTCCTGTTTGTATAGATTAACTTCCAGGCTTATTAGCTGAATGATTTCAGATGAACTTATATTACCATTGTTATGAAGAGTGTAGTGTTATTAGTTTCCCAAATGTCACTATAATAGCAGGATGCTCCAAAGAAAGCTAAATTCCCTATTACAGCTAGAGAAATTTAAGGGAGTAAGTCACAACTTTACTTTCATAGATACATATACTTGCTACGACTAGGAAGTACAACAATGAGGAAATGTTCCCAGAAATACTAACATAGATATTAGCTTCAATATAATTAAATATTATAAAGTATTTGGTTGACCTGTTTAGAATCTCTTAGGAACGTCTTAAAAAGAATTATGGTAGACTTAAACTTCCAGCAAAAACCCAAAATATAATAAATGCCTATGTGGAAGCAGCTTCAAGAAAGGATCTTTTTCATGTTAAAAACATAAATATTAACACACTTAAAACAGGTTACCAGGAAGTGATTTTGACTTACATATCCACACAACACTGAGGCTTTACTGCACCTGCAGCATCAACGACAACATACTTATTTGGAGTAGTACACAAAACTGAAAGAAAAAGTCACAATGGCCATTAGTGTTTTAAAACAAAATTAGTTTCTACAAGTCTAAAATTAGTCGGGACTAGTTAAAACCCTTAAAAGAGACCTCGGAGACTCACCTTTGAACTTTAAGGCAAACTCATAGGGATTGTATAGAGTCAACACTTGCTTATGTGTTGACTGATCATCTGCATAAAATATTAGCTCCGTGGGAAACACAAAAACAGGAAGATTTCCTTCCACTAATTCTGGTTGTCTTTTTGGTTGATGCATTGGCACTGAACCCCACTTGCTGCAGCTTCTGTTTTTACAGTCTCAAATCTATTCTGGACTTGTCTTAGCTTCAGTTAAAAACTCCAAAGCATTTTGGCAATCTAGAAAGAGGAGGAAGAGAGAAAGCAAAAAGAAATTATGCTCAGTTTCATTAATCTATAGTCCTGCCATCCATTAGCATGCCTTCAAATAGGCCTCCAAATCATTTAAACATGACTTTTGACTTTTCCTCTTGGCTTACTTCTATAGCTTTCACCAAATTGTGCAAAAAAAAAAATTTTACACGTGCTCCTTTTCCATTCATGATTTCGACTGATGATAAATTGCATAAATACTGGAATAAAGAAGGCTTTCTACCTCAAATTAATGACCTGCTGTTAAAGGGCTGATGAGATCAAAGGGACATCACTATTTTTAAACCTTCAATTAAAAAAAAGTAGACTAAATTAAGTGTTGCCATAACTGAATTTTAAGTGAGCCAATCACAATTCTTAAACAATAAAAAAGATAAAACAAGGGTAAGTTTCCATGGTTTATGGGAGAAAAACATGAGATTCACTTTTCCATTCATTTCAACAATGCTCTATTTAGTGCCTTCTGGCAACATGGGTGGGAGAGTTCATTTAATCTTTTTTTCTACCGAAACCCAAGACAAGCTAAAATATCTTGAAAGGAAGCTGAATATCCAAATTTGCTTTGCATTTTCTATGAAAATTCAAAGTCGCTAAGTAGGCTTTGGCATGAGAGTGGCACACAGTACCTCCTCCTCTCCCACATCAAGTACGCAGGCTTGGTGAGAGCCATTTTCCTCCAACTTCAGAGGCTTTTTTGGATTCTTTCTGGGCTTCTTGAATATATTCCAGATAGCTGTTGCTGGCAGAAGTCTGACTGATAAGTACAATGTTTCTGTTTACTTCTTGATCTAATTTTAATCAGCAACGTTCTTACTTAGCTAGCTGCCCGAGTGGGCTTTTTTTAAATAAAATGCAAAAGCTAAAACATACAAGCACAGAAAATTTCTGATTTTCATTCCGTGGATCACACCTGTAAAATAGGCTTTTAAAAAAACCCCGTTGCCGACTCACAGTGACCCTATGGGACAGAGCAGATCTGCCCCACAGGGCTTCCAAGGAGTAGCTGGTGGATTCGTACTGCCGACCTTTTGGTTAGCAGCTGAGCTCTTAACCACTGAACCACCAGGGCTCTGTAAAATAGGCTACAAGCCATTTAATACTTGAAGCTCAGGTTTTGACACATTCAGAGAGAAATACAACAAATATATTGTTTGGTTTTACCAGCTATAGGGACTTATGTGCTCTGATTGAGGCCTTTTCAGCTTTTATCAAATAGGATAACTACCGTACAATCACGTATTCAAATTTTTATTCTTCTTTCAGCTGAAGGAACTGACCGGAACTATGTCAGAAGCTGAGAAGATACACAAAGATGAATAATGTCCAGGTCCCGCCCTCAAGAAATAACAAGTCTAATTGAAGAGACAAAGTAAACAGTTAAAGTACCTGGATTATAATGCATAGCATACCATGGTATGTAAAGTGGTAGGCTATCAGAAGACTATAAGACTAATTCTACCTGGGAGAGAGGCCAAGCAATGACATTTAAGGTGGTCCTTAAAGAAATAAGGAAACCCTGGTGGCGCAGTGGTTAAGAGCTACAGCTGCTAACCAAAAGGTTGGCAGTTCGAATCTACCAGGTGCTCCTCGGAAACCCCATGGGGCAGTTCTACTCTGTCCTATAGGGTCACTATAAGTTGGAATCGACTCGATGGCAACAGGTTTGGTTTGGTTTTCGGGTTTAAAGAAATAAGGGCACACAGGCATGTGTTGTGGGCACAGGAAGGGCATTCAGACCAAGGGAATAGCATAAGCCAAGGCACAGAAAGGTACAGACAAGGGGGAGCACCGGGGAAGGTACTAATCCACAGGCTGTCTCAGACAACCATCCTACTTTTTATCTATGTACTTTATAGTATGCATGTAGTTCAGAACAGTGTTGGTTTTCTTTGCATTTTTTAAATGTGTTAAAAGGGCCTTTAGAGGTCATCTGTGACTATGGGCATTTTTATTAGCAATAATAGCTAACATCTGTAGAATTCATAACAGATTATAAACTTTTTAAAATTACGTATATAGAATGATTTCTGTATGTAAAGCTACATACAGAATATATGATATATGTATGTATGCATAGCACCTACTGTGGGCCAGGCAATGTTCTAAGTGTTTGCTATTATTATTAATGATGAAGAGACCAGACTGAGCCAAAAAACAAACAAACAAAACACCAAAGTCAGCAGGCCTCCTGCCTCCTGCCTCCTGGTCTAATATTCTTTTCACTACCATACCCATTGCTGTTGAGTCTATCCCGACTTATAGTGACCCTATAAGATTTCCAAGGAGCAGCTGGTGGATTTGAACTGCTGAACCTTTTGATTAGCAGCCGAACACTTAACCACTGAGCCACCAGGGCCAGGACAAAGAAATTTCAGAAAAAGATTGTGCTATACTAGCTTCAGGCACAAATGATGCTCTGGATCTCTTTCTTTTGCTAAGAGCCATATGTTTCTATTTGGATATTGTGCTTTCAGGAGTTTGATATGTATATATATTTTCAACACAAAAGAATAAGCTATATAATTACTTTCTTAGGAAGCTTGATTATTATGAATAGAACATTCAAATTTGACATCACTTAGTAATATTTACCATCTCATTCTAAAACTATGTTAAGATGAAAATTTAGCTTATGATAAAATATGGCATCTCTGATTAATATATGGATTATTCAATAAATGTTGGTACAACTGGGTGTCCATCTAGGAAAAAAAAAAGTTGAACTTACCACTCATGCCTTATACCAAGATAAATTCCAAAGGGATAAAAGCTTTAAATGTAAAAAATAAAACTTTTTTTTATAATCTCAGAGTTTAAGGGCTTTCTAACAATGACATAAGACTAGACACCATAAAATAATAATAAATACATATTTTTTTAAAAAAATTCTACATGGCAGAAAACTTTATAAGGCCAAAAGAATATTTGCAATTCATATCATAAGCAATACCTAATTTCCCTACTATATAAAGAGACACTACAACTCATGAAGAGAAAGTCCACCAACTCAATATAAAAATGAGCAAAGGATATGAATATTTCATAGAAAAGAACATACCAACTTCTCCTAAACTTACAAAAGGATATTTAACCTCATTTACCATAAGAGAAATGCAAACTAAAGCTACAATGAAATACAATTTTACGTGTCAGGTGATCAAAAGCAAAAGTCAAAATGTTTGATAGCATGTGGTGGGCGCGATCAGACAAGTTCTTACACTGCTAGCGGGGCTGTGAATTGGCACAACCACTACACCTGGCAAAACTAAATGCACGTGCTTTCTGATCCAGCAATTCTACTTCTAGGGATTTACCCAACAATACGGATATGTGAAATCACGTGTGTAAAAATCATGTACATAAAAGGCTTTCTTTACAGCATTGAGGATTAAATATTTTATGTGAAGTACACAGAACAAAGCTTGGCACTCAATAAGTTAGTTGTTGTAGATAGCAAAAGATTGGAAATAGCCCAAATATCCATTAATAGGGGGTTCATTAAATAAAGTATGGTGTAGCCATTCCGTGGGATACCAGATATCTGTCAAAAAGAAAGAGGAAGTTCTTTGGGTAGTGCAGATATAGTGTAGTGTTGAGAAAAGCAAGGTGCAATGCAGTGTGTAGAGTATGCTACTATTTATATGCAAAAGAGAGAGAAAAGAATATGTAAACCTGTTTTCTTGGGTATGGATAAAATATCTCTGCACGGATACCCAAGAAACCAACAACACTGGTTGCCTCTGGAGAGAGAACAGCGTGTGGGTGACAGGGGTGGGAGGGAAATTTTCTCTGAAGAGCCTTTTGTATCTTTTGAATTCTGAACCAAGTAAATACCTATTCAAGACAATCCAATTAAGTAACTCTATTAGGGTCTATTTTGAAAAAGATGCCAATTTTGAAACATAAGAGGGAATTTAGAAACAATGGGTGAAAAAATCTGTTAACTAACTTACCCTCTAACAAGACATTGAAAACCTTCCACTATGTGTTAAATAAAATGAGTTCAACTATTTAAAATAATTTTACATGCAATAGAAACTCATTAGAATGAGACTACCAAAGGTAGGAAAATATCTAACCCCCATACAACTTTCTGTGATAAAGGTGTGTGAAATGGTTCATAAATCTGGCTACGGAAGTCAAAATTAAGCACCCAAGTGTTAAAACTCTCGGTTCAAACTTGAAGAGTGGTTTGTCCACACAGGCCAGAGCAGACACTTTACAGGCTTGGAATGATGCCTTCATAGAAATTTCTATTCTTTTTATTTTGAAGTTTTCACTTTAGGATTTGAATATGAACACAGTTTATAAGTAATAAGCTGTCAATCTCCTGGTAGCCATTTGTTATGGATTGAATTGTGCCCCCCAAAATTATGTGTGGAAATCCTAACCCGTGTTTTGAAATAGGGGTTTTCTTTTTGTTATGTTATTGCAGTCATGCTCGTGCAGGGTGGGTTCTGAGTTATAAAAAGCACAGAATGGACACACGAGAGACACAGGGGAAGACAGCCACCATGTGAGGATCGTCTACAAGCCAAGGAACCAAGGAACGCCCGGGGCTACCAACAAGGAAGGAATACACTCGGCAGAGACCCTGATTCTGACTTTTAGCCTCCAAAACTGTGAGAAAATAAATTTCTGTTCTTTAAAGCCACCCACTTGTGGTATTTGTGTTACGGCAGCACTAGCTAACTACGACACCATTAAAGAATTGTTTAATCATTTTGAGCAGTTTATTGTTATTTCTTTTCATAGTCCCTGTCCCCATTTATCACTTATCTTGGCTAAGATTATAAGCTGCCTTCTAAACTGCAGCCAGTGGAAATTCAGGAGGAATTAGCAGTAGGTCACCAGAGCAATATTAGCAATGCTGCCAACAAACATAATGCAGCATAACACCTGCCTTTCATTGATGGGTTTCTGGAGGTGAACGCGTTCTGTTTTCTCCAGTCCATACTGCCAAATGA